GGGGGAGGAAGGGGGGGGGGGGGGGGGGGGGGGGGGGGGGGGGACTGGTCAGCAAGACTTGGCATAAGCGGCTCTTTTCGTGTGGGCTCAACTCATCAGGACAGGAGGAGGTCGTGATGGGGGGGAAAACGGGAGGGAGGGAAAAGACAAGCGCAGAGGTGTGTCGGGACAGGATGGGGCCGGGAAAGGGGGGGGCGCCGGGATCTGAACATGGTTAAAAAACGAAGCTCACGAAAGGAAGAGGAAGAGGGAGAGGAGAAGAAGATCACGTCCTTTGGGACATCCGCTAGAATTGGAACGATACACAGAGAGAGAGAGAGAGAGAGAGAGAGAGAGAGAGAGAGAGAGAGAGAGAGAGAGAAAAGAGAGATTAGCATGGCCGCCCCTGCTGAGCAAGGATGACACGGATGGTCCAAAAAAAAAAAAAAAAAAAGAAGAAGAAGAAGAAGAAGGAGAAGAAGAAGAAGATCAGGGTCCAGTATTTTTCATATTTCTTTGTGGGAGGAAACATTCATGGCATCCAGTGCCATGGAGAACTACCTACCTCCTGGATTTGCCTGAGGCTTATGGATATGAATCCATACTTCAGTCCTCGATCCTCATCTTCTGGTGCAGATTGGCATACGCTTGGGGGGGATTTCTTCTGCAGGGAGGCATGCTAGCGGTGTCTGTTCATACCAGCACCCCTAGCATCAGCATGGGCAGTTAAAAAAAAAAAAAAAAAAAAAAAAAAAAAAAAAAAAGGGAGGTAAAAAAAAAAAAAAAAAAAAAAAAAAAAAAAAAAAGGGGGGGGGGAAAAAAAAAAAAAAAAAAAAAAAAAAAAAAAAAAACAAAGGGGGAGATAAAAAAAAAAAAAAAAAAAAAAAAAAAAAAGGAGAGAGAGGGCGTCGCGCCGGACCACTCACCAAACGTGCAGAATGAGGATGATTTGTGCAATTTGCACAAGAATAAGGAAAGATACACCGCCATAATTTTTTTGGCGTTTGTGTGCTTGTTGAGTGGTGAGGCGAGGGCTAGGGAGAGAGAGAGAGGGAGAGAGAGGGACAGAGAGGGAGAGAGAGGAGGGGTAAATGGAGGACAGGACGGAGTCACACTCATCGAAGGAGAGGACCCCCTAAGAAAAAAAGAAAGGACCCCCTGATAATGCGCACCTCTCCTTAGCCGGCGCTCCGCTTGGGTAGTCTCCTTGGGATACAAGCCGGGCCACTACACTAAGGGCGTACTTACACTAAAGGACTTCTTTGCACCCCTTCGTGGACGAGATTGCAATCAAGATACATGCACGACGGGCCGGAATCGCAGTCAGATACGTCCAGGAAAGACCTAGCGTGAGTATGGCTTAACTGCGTGGTGGCGCAGCCAGGGGAAGGGGCTTTCATTTGTGCGTGTCTAGCCTAAGAAATGTTGCAAGTTTTTGTGACGCGGCAGGCCTGATGCAGGCCTGGCTTTGGGTTTGGGTAATGGAACTTGCTTTTGCTAAGGCATGTGTGGGGAGGGGGGGGGGCACCCCCCCCCCCCCAATGTATAGATTGGTTTGTTTGCTATCAGCCGAGCAGGGGGTATCAGCCGAGGAGGGGGTGCGGTTGTCCACTTGATGTAGCTCAGTGGTTAGAGCACCTGTTGGAAATGCGCATTGTGGTATGAGGCTGTGGGTTCAAAACTCCGCATCCTCGCGCATGGGCACCAGCAGGGCGTTAAGAATGACGCACGGCTGGACACACACTCCCCTGGGCTGACGCATGGTACTATGACAGTCACTGCCTGCGCACCACCCAGGGGGTCAGTCCATGGGTGTTGTATGCTGGTCTAGTCTTCACGTTGGTTGCTGGTTGTTGTTGGCTTTGGTCTCTCTGATGATATCCCCCAGTCCAGACACTACACACATTATATCCACTTCCCACGGTAGTACAAGTGGTAGAACCCTCCAGTTTCATACTGTGGGTCACAGGTTCGAGTCCGGCTCCGGACTTTGGGGGGGTCCTGTCCAGATTGACCTGTCTCTACGACATACACACACAATGAGATACTACCCCAGACAGCACAATCCATACACACGTACTATACATACATATACATAGAGCTCAAGGTACACACACACATACATGTACTAGTGGAGGTGATAAGAGCACCTCTCACCAGTACTCAGAACTCACTTCGCAGATGCTCCATGGTGGGGAGCAGCATACAAAACCATACATATAGCCCACGGGCACACATCTATGATACAGAGTACATACACACATACACAACCATAGGGTTGGCAAATACACAACCACAGGGTTGGGAGGAGGTTATGATCAACTGATAATGATGATAAGCGTCTCGATGATAAGTACCCCGCCTTAAAAATACAGCTAGGGTCTGTGGTGGGAGAGTAGAGGGCGTGAGTCACTGGTTGGTCTGTTGGGTTCTGACTGGTGATGATGATAGGCGTCTCGATGATAAGTACCCCGCATTAAATATACAGCTAGGTCTGTGGTGGGAGAGTAGAGGGCGTGAGTTACTAGTTGGTCAACTTAGGGGGCTCACACACACACACACACACACACACACACACACACACACACACACACATACACAAGGGCTGGGTGGAGGTCACGATCACCTGATAATGATGATAGGCGTCTCGATGATAAGTACCCCGCCTTAAATATACAGCTAGGGTCTTTGGTGGGAGAGTAGAGGGCGTGAGTCACTGGTTGGCTTGGTCGGCTCCAACTGGTGATGATGATAGGCGTCTCGATGATAAGTACCCCGCATTAAACATACAGCTAGTACGTCTGTGGTGGGAGAGTAGAGGGTGTGAGTTACTAGTTGGTCAATTTAGGGGGCAATAGGTCATTGCTTGAGCCTGGCGTTCGAAGTACCCGTACGACGAGGCTCGTTCAACTATGCTTCAACCAGGGCTGGGTAGCTAGCCCTGGTGCCTGTCACTACTGTTCGGTCCAAGTTCCCCTCGATACGTAGGGTGATGGTCCTGAGTGCTGGTCACATTGAGGTAGGATAGTAGGGATAGGGGATGTGCTAGGAGTATTGACGCGAGGATGGGATGGGTGGTGACCTCGCCTCAGAGCGACCATGGTTGACCGCGTCCGGCGATTAATGTGTGCCTAGTAACTGGCCTCTACAACACCCTGGACTTTATTAAAAAAAAAAAAAAAAAAAAGGGGGGGGGGGGGGTTGTATCACAGGCTCGAGTCATGTTTTAAGTGCGGGGGACGAGCCCCTCACCCCCACCCCCCCTCACCCCCCATGTACAGACTGGTTTGTTTACTATCCCCGGAGGGGGGGTCGCGTTCATACCGACAGTACACCCGAGGCTAAATGGACAAGCCTAAATTTGAATTTTCCCGAGCCTAAAAGTTACCGGCACCCCAGCTTGGAAAATGGAGGGTGGTACCGGTACCGCCCACTTTGAAACTGAACAGTGCTGCGTCGTTTTCACTTGTGTGCCACCACTGGCAAACTCTCGGCAAAAATCAGTCCCTGTATCTGGCGAGAAACTCGGCCTTGGGCATCAATACGAAAAGGTTGGTGCCCGTGAAAGAAAGAAAATCCCTCTTGTGATTCTTAATTGACCCTCAAAGAAGCGCGCCCATATCTAACCTGTAATAAGTGCAGATTCATACAGCTAAAACAAACAAAATCCCACCGGTGATTCTCAAAATGTCGGCGCCGGTGAAAACGGCCCCCTGTCACTCTAATGGGGGCGTTCTGTCCCCACTCATTTTGCTTTTGGCCCGTTATAATAGGCACCAGTGGTGGATTGGGGGTTGCTTGCCCCCACAACCATCTCCCTTGGATGCATAAAGCCCTCTATCACGGGTAGATGCTTGTAGTGAGTATGTTGGGTGCAGAAGAAACGGCCGCCCACCAGATTGGAAGAGTATAAAAATGCCCTGCCTTCATGGCAAGGCATCTAAAAAGAAAAACACGAACTCAAAGAGTTCTCCTGAATCTAGAGCAAGACTGAGGCCAGGGCCATTCAAATTGACAACACTCCCTGTTCTCTTTCTTGTTTTCTTTTTTTTCCCCCCTTTGTTGTTGTTGCTATTTTCTTATACTCGTTTTCTTTTTTTTTATCAACTTCTACTCGTTTTTTTCATTGTGCCAGCGATGCGGAGAGTTATGTCTATGTATGTGGAAACACCATTCGCCTTTTTCGTTGGGTCCACCGGCATCCTGCCTCACCGCTTTGTCGGGCCTTCCCAAGGCCCTGATTTTCTCTTGTGACAACAAGTTTGTTTTGCTGCACAATTGGGGTCGTGTACTACTAGTGGTTTAAGTCACGTTTAAGTGTGGGGGAGGGGGAGGGCAGGTGGAACACCCCCTCCCCCCCACCCGCTCCCCCTTCATGTATAGATTAAGGGACATTTGTTATTGGGTGCAGTAACCCAAACACTGAACAGTTTTGGGTTCCGGTATGAAACTTCTCTTTTCTAAGTCATGTTTAATTAAGTGTGCAGTGTTGAGCGCACTATCTCCCCAAAGGGGACCTTCCTGGCCACGTCACGCAGGATTGGCAGTTTCACGAGTCGACTCACCTAAAGGGAAGCAGCGGAGCCTCTCTGACCGAGCGTGTCAATTATACCTCCATCAAGCCCCTACGACAAGATAGGGTCTCGCGAGGTACAACTTGTCTCCACCCGCAGGAGTTGTCACCATCCCTTGGGTGGGCGTATCCCCGTCGAGCTACTAAACCACGCGCAGAAGTCCTTACGTGCAATCCCGGAGGTGACCCAACCGATTGTCACGGTGTTTATGTATGTTTGTGACTGTGTATGTCTATGTATGTATATATTTGTGAGTGTTTCTCAAGGAATCTTTGTGTATATGTATGTGTCATTAAAGAGAGAGATAGAGATAGAGATAGAGATAGATAGATAGATAGATAGATAGATAGATAGATAGATAGATAGATAGATAGATAGAGAGAGAGAGAGAGAGAGAGAGAGAGAGAGAGAGAGAGAGAGAGAGAGAGAAAGTTTGTGTTTACGAGTGTGTCTTAGTTATTGTGTTTGTCTAAGTATGCGTTTGTGTTTGTGTACGTATGTATATTTTTGTGATCAGCAGACTGATTGGTAACGGCTGATTGCAATAAATTGGTCATGTACTCATAACGAGTGTTCAGGTAGAACAAAACACATGAGAAACAGATGGATAGGTAGATAGATAGATAGATAGAGAGAGAGAGAGATATGTATGTGTGTTTGTGTCAGTGTATATGAGAATCAATCAAATCAATGAACCGATCACACATACACACACACACACACACACACACACACACACACACACACACACACACACACACACATATATATATATATAGGGTCACCAGCCCGTACGTACGGAGGTCCCCGGGTATACCTCCGTACGTACGGGCGTTCGGGGTCCCGTATGGGGTCCGAACCCGACGGCGTTCGACCCCCGCCGAAACTTATTTCGGGGCCTAAAAATAAATGTTCTTTTCTGATTTTTTTTTTTTGTGAGTTCTCTATGACATCAGATACATGCCAATAAATTTTCAGTCATTTAGCTCAGCCAGATAAAAATTAAAAATCGCCAAAAATGGCGGTGTCAAAACATGCTCGCCCACGTTGTTTTTCACTTTTTGCATTTTGTTTTCACTTTAGTTCGGGGTCTA